CCCCCCCCCCCCCCCCCCATCTTCCTCGATGCTGTTTAGAAAGAAAACACCGGCAAAGTGGCAGGTAGTGGGGAAATTCTAGGAAGATTCTGGGTCGTAGGTACAACGGGGACCAGCAAAGGAAATGCTGGAGGGAGGAGGAGGGGTAGGTTGCAAGAAATTCCTCCAAGGCAGGGCATGGTATCCTGATCAACACGAAATATTCATTGCCTGGGTATGCAAACAGCAATGAAAAACTATGTAATCCATAATTTAAAAGACCGCTTAATAAAAAAACCAACAATACTTAACTACTTACCAAGCAAATGGCGAGTACAAGAAAAAAGCCCAGACGATAGTTAACAGATTCGCCCGCAACAGGTGGTCGTTCGGCAAATTGCACAAGACCTTAAAAATTCCATTGAAGTTTCTTCCAACTGAATGCCCACGCCGCTTGATGCAACGTCTTCAGCTGAGTTCAGCGCGACTTGGCTAGTGAAAAATGGTCGGCCAGGAAATAGTCCATGGGCCTGAGAAAAACGCCAGGCAAAAGGTTAAGGATTATCAATCCTAGACCAAAAACGACAGAAACCCTCGGTTCCGTTGAGGAAGTTTTGTCATTCCGAAACACAGAGGTCTTATAGCTAGGGCACGCCATTGCTTTAAGACCATTTCCTGAGAAATACACCCTCCCTCCCCATGTCACCTACCACTTCCCTAGATTTTCCCATCTTCCTACCACTTTTTCCATCCATTTCTTCCCAAAAATTTCTCGCGCCACAAGTGACTATGGTTCCAGGTAGTAGGGGCGGCAACAGGCAATTCAGAACCGAAAGTATTGATGAATGTCCTACGATGACGGGGTCCACATGAAGTCCGGTGCTCCTGTCGACAAGTCAACACGAGTTAAAAAAGCGTCGCACCCGTCGCCGCGCGCGGCGGAACGGCAAATTACGATTCTCTTGCCTGTCTCCCCTCAGAGAGTGACCAAGCCAGTTTGATATGACTGTGAAGTCGCCAAAAGGGATAATTTTGTAGGCTTGGACCTACTTGGATAAGAAGGAGGCCTACGAATTGGTGAGCGCCGGGGACTGTTTTTAATTTATGGCCTTCGCTAGGATCAGGGATATTTTCCCATCTTTTAATTGAAGCGAGTTCCTCTGCCTGAATGCCTTCCGCGTCATTTCAATATCTATTTCAGCGAGTTGCTACTGCGTCTCTTAGTCTGACGAGCACTCTTCAAGACAGATCCATCTTCTGCTTACCCGTCCAGTCAGCGTCCCGGAGCATTCAAACGACTAAAAAGCCGCCGCAATGTTAACAGGATATTTAAACCACGCAACTTGCGCCCTTATATCGATAGTCAAGCGTGATGATGCGACTTACTCTTATTAGGTTTGTCGCAAAAGTTCGCGGACACTTTTTGAATCTCGTATCAGATTTTTCCTCAGCCATTTCGAGATCCAGTTATGTGGTCTAGGGGAAGTGTGTGAGGTAAGCATTCCACAGCTCCTTCACCGTCCCTCGCAGTCGCTGTTCTCATATGAAAAACGATAATTGAAACCCATCATTTTCGACACAGGCCGCTATGATTTCTACCAAGCCATAACGTGGTTGGAGCCATAAGCGGTATTTCCCTCATTTAATATCATGATGTTAGTTCCACAGTACGGTTTTGAATGGCTCAATTGCTTCCGCTTTAGTGACTTCTATCCGGGTGAAAAACTTCGTTTCCAAGGAGCACCTGCTTTGGATTTGGACCTACTGTGTTCGCTGATTAAAACCAATACGTCAAAATCAACTTGCTATTTAGTCTTTACACTTGACTGGTCCCTAAGCACAAATGAGGGAGGGCTCGCTTCCTTAGAAAAGTTCTGCAGTTCGGTGAAAATTTTTCTCATGAGTTGACCTACTCGAAGGGGAGCACATGTGGGTACTGTCTACAACTTCTCTTCCGCTCCCACTGTACGGACTGGTTGGACAGCACTGTAAACTGGATATGGAGTGGGTTGCCTGGTGAATCACTCCTGGGAGCGCGAGCGGGCTAAATCCCCCAGAAAGGGCAGAACCGATCGCGCAATCCTTTCAATCCAGTAGGGCGGTGAGGGTGTGTATGTGGTGGGGTACCTTTCTTCCGCTCTAAAAACGGAATTCCTTCCTTCCAACGCTATGGTGACTAGGGAGCCCTATTGTATTCAACTGCAAAGGGGGATTGAAAATCGCTCACATTCGGTCCCAAAACCGAGCAATGTTTGCCTATTCACCACACCGGTCACACATTTGGAAAACGGCACTGCTCGAGATCCCGAAGCTTAGCTGGGGAATTCCAACACAGTCTTCGCGTAGCACTGACTCAGCTCTTTGATCGTCATCTAAACTAATCCCACAGTGGCCATCTTTAGGGGAAAAATACGATTTTTGATAGTACCTCAAAAATGACCGCAGCTGCCTTTCTGGGCACAAACTAAGAGGCTTCTGAAGCAGGGACAACCACACATTGCGTAGTGTTGGCAACAAGTTGCCAATGAAGGTGACATATATATAGTTGATCAAAATTGCTTCACATTGGAATAAACTTGATTCGAAAAAAAAAGTTTTTAAGTGTCCGCGAACTTTGGGACAACCTTATACTTCTACTACCCCCACCCCGTACACCCACAAAACGGGCAACTCACTAGCCGAGGATAGGAGAGTGTATACCACGTTGAACAAATTGAAATTTGAAAGCTATTTGCAAATACTCGCAAAACACGACTCAAGCAAATCAAATCACACTAACAATCAATAAAGTTCCCGTTAATTGTTTGGATATTTTCAAATAACCTCAAACCATTAAACCAGCAAATAATAGGCAGGGTTTCCCACGACCATTTCATCCGAGAAACGCGAAAACTTTTATGCCGAAACTGAAAAAAAACTCTACTGGAACCCTTGGAAGTCGAAATCTTGGCCTGCTCCGAGTTTTTCCTGCTACTCTGGATGTGAATCATCACTATATCATACACACATTATTTCATTACACAGTCGGTGGCGGCAAGTGGCCCCCTTGTAACGGGGCGGTGTGGAGGCCAGGGCACGTCATCGCGTTGTGATATTCCTGCAGAATACGACCCCTTTCCATCCTCTAATAGGTCCGTTGAGGAAGTTTTGTCATTCCGAAACACAGAGGTCTTATAGCTAGGGCACGCCATTGCTTTAAGACCATTTCCTGAGAAATACACCCTCCCTCCCATGTCACCTACCACTTCCTAGATTTTCCCATCTTCCTACCACTTTTTCCATCCATTTCTTCCCAAAATTTCCAGTTTTTGGTCAAGAATTTTCCGTCAAGCGGAGGGGGTATACCTGATGTGAAACAAAGAAATTTTTCAGATTTTTCTTTTTCCTAACCTCCTACCAGTTTTCCCAAAATTTCCCAAAAAATTTCTGGTGTTTTCCCCAAAATATTTCTGTCGAGCGAGGGGGGGGAGGGGAGGTCGTCAAGATTTGACTATCATTTTCAACTATGGGAAATAGTAATTCTAT